TTTTTTGGGTTCGTTTCATTTTTTTTTTGGGTTGTCCCTTGTTGTGAATTTGTAGACTGGTTATATTATTATTGTTTTCTTGGTTGGTTCTACCTTGAATCGGCCCAAGAAAAAAATGGGTCTCAAATTTTGTGTACCTTTTTCTATTTCGTTTGTTGGGTTCATATCTTTAAATTCTTTATTAACTTGCTAATTGTGTAAGAAGGTTGTATGCTGTAATATAACTCTTTTATTGACAGAAATATCTTTAAAGTTTTGATCTTTTCCTTGTGATGTTTTCTCCCTTTGAAGGTTTGATTTGAGTGTGTGTGTGTGTGTGTGTGTGTGTGTGTGTTTATTAGGATTTTCCATTCATGCAAACTAGAGAAATGAAAAGAACATTGAAGTAAGACGTTTTCTGCGTTATTCCCTTTTCAATTCTTTGTCTGCATGAACCTATGGTTTACGGTTTGTTCTTGTCGACTAATTGCTTACAGTATAAGTAAATCCTGCTTTGTTATAGTATGAGGCTTTGTTCAAGTTCATTGTCTTATAAATTTTTAATCTTGCCAGTGTAATCTCTTGAACGATTTTGTTGTCATTTTTGTCCTCTTTGCAATCGCAGGCGATAATTCGTCCTCAAATAAGAACATGGCTAGTGTTCAAGATATTTCCACATCAGCTGCTATCAATCTTTTGTCTGCATTAGCATTTCTTCTTGCTTTTGCATTCTTAAGGCTCCAACCTATAAACGACAGAGTTTACTTTCCAAAATGGTACTTAAAGGGCATAAGAGCCAGCCCCAGAAGTTCCGGGCCTTTTATGAAAAAATTTGTCAATTTAGACATCAGAACGTACTTAAAGTTTTGGACTTGGATGCCTGCAGCATTACGAATGCCAGAGCCCGAGCTTATAGATCATGCCGGGCTCGATTCTGCTGTGTATATAAGGATTTACCTTCTTGGGTGAGTAATCGATATTTATTATTATGCTTTTATTGTCAACTTGTTGAGTTTAGAGATAGTTTCGAGTGTATTTGGAGTAACAAAAGAAAAAAAAGAAAAGCGGGTGATTCTTGTTTCTAGCTGAAAATATTGATGGTTTTAGTGTTTTTCAGATGCCCACTCGAGTTATTGAATTTCTCTTGAGACATTGCAAGTGCAAAAGTTTCTCATGGTTTCAAATTCTTGTTTCAAATACTTAATTGCAGACTGAAAATCTTTGTCCCGATTACCCTTCTCGCTTTTGCGGTGCTTGTGCCTGTCAATTGGACTGGTGAAACACTTGTCAATGTTAAGGATTTAACATTCAGCGATATCGACAAGCTTTCTATATCCAATGTTCCTTCAGGATCTCTAAGGTTCATTCCTTACTTTACATAAGCATTTTGATCTTGAGATGCTTTACTAGACTGCTCTTTTATTTTTATTTTTCCCTTTTCCTATTTTCTATTTGTAACTATCTTGTGAATATTTGGTAAAGCAGATTTTTTTTTTTCGACTGGTTTAGGTTTATTACACATATTGTAATGGCGTATGTGTTTACATTTTGGACATGCTATGTTCTTTACAATGAATACCGAATTGTGAGTAACAAAAGGTTGCAGTTTCTAGCTTCCGCACATCGTCATCCAGATCAATTCACTGTGAGTTTTTATTCGACTCGAGTATTATACAATCAGTTCACCAATATATCGATCTATTAATACACGAAACACCTTTTTTTTTTTAAACAGGTTCTTGTGAGGAATGTTCCTCCGGATCCAGATGAATCGGTTAGCAAGCATGTCGAGCATTTCTTTTGCGTTAATCATCCCGATCACTATCTCACGCATCAGGTTTTGCATTTTATTCTTATTCAAAGTTGATACAAATATGAATATAAATATATAAATAGTGACATACACTAAAAGGGAAAGGATGATGAGTTATTCTGTATTCGATTTTCTAACTTCTTGTTAAATGGATTGCAGGTCGTGTATAATGCGAACAAACTAGCTAAATTGGTTGAGAAGAAGAAAAGTCTAAATAATTGGCGTACTTACTATCAAACTCGGTATGAGAGAAACCCAACCAAGAGGCCAAGGACAAAGGTATTTAGTTATTTACTTGCATATTGTGTTATGTTGTTCCATGAATTGCATATACTCTACAATTTCATTACAATAAATATTTTTATTATCATATTTTTTAAAAAAATTATAGACAGGTTTTTGGGGCCTTTGGGGAAAGCCTGTGGATGCTATTGATTACTACACAGCAGAGATTGAGAAGATAATCGAAGAGGTATGCATTATGCTAAGCTTCATAAGTTGATATTGCCGTTCTCTGAAAAAGAAAAAATTAAGTGAGTTGCTTTTGTTCGTTCTTCTTTTCGTTATTTAGAGTGAATTACAAAGATATCTAGCTAACTTTGAAAATAACAAATTTCATCCATCAATTTTCTATACATTACAAATCTGTCCAACTTTTTTTTTTTTTTAATTACAACCCATAGAAATCTACAACCCAATGAATGTTTGGGCTACTTGTGTACTCAGAAAGATTAGGGGCATATTAAATATTTGACGATATCAGCAAATTCTATCAATCGACTAACGACCCATGCAAAAATGTTATTAAAAAAAAAAACGATGAGGGTATTTCCAGAATTTGCATTCTGTTTCCTTTTTTTTTTATTAAAAAAAAAAATCTTTGTTCTTCATTCCTCTTCTTTTCTGCTTTTAAGAGGCAATTAAAACCATATTCTGTTTTTGGCTGGGAACATAATAGGAAAATGCAGAAAGGGAGAAGGTAATGAGCGACCCGAAGGCCATAGTACCAGCGGCATTTGTCTCGTTTAAATCACGGTGGGGAGCAGCCGTTTGTGCCCAGACTCAGCAGTCGAGCAACCCAACCATTTGGCTCACAGATTGGGCACCTGAGCCGCGTGATGTTTACTGGCCCAATCTCGCCATACCTTACGTCGAGCTTGCTGTGAAAAAGCTGCTAATGGCAGTTGCAATGTTTTTCCTCACTTTCTTTTTCATGATCCCTATAGCCTTTGTTCAGTCCTTGGCGAGCATTGACGGCATTGAGAAGGTTTTCCCGTTCCTTAAACCATTGATCGAGGCGTAAGTTCATTTAACATTTTTTTTTCTTTTCTTTTCGTAAAATTCCAAAATATGTTCTTTAGTGATTGAGCTCTTTTTC